TGTCTCACATCTCATCTAATCCTTTTGGTTATTCTTCTTCTTAGTACAGTCCCTAATAAAATGTCTAGCATTACCACAACTATAACAACGTCTACTACTAGTCTTGTCCTATTCTTTGCCTTTCTTACCACTCTCATCACTTGAATCACTACTGTCTTGACCTCTACTCTAATTTGTTTGCTTAAACTTCATTATACTCCTTATCACTCGATAGGGTCATCACTCGACTCTATAGCCACATTCGTCTCACCTCTCATTTTATCCTCCTATTTATCCTTCTTTTTAGGACAGTTCCTAATAAAATGTCTAACATTACCACAATTATACACCGTCTACCACTATACTTCCTATTCTTTGCCCTTCTCACCACACTCATAACTCGAGTCACTACTCGAATCACTATTGTATTGTGCTCTATCCAAATTTATTTGTTTAAACTTCATTGTGCTCCTAATCACATATAACTTACCACTCCTTTATATTCATTTTCAACCTTAATCTCCATCTCCTTACTCTTAAAGGAATCTATGATAATATTGAGTGTTAAGGTATCTCTAATATACTTAATTATATTCTTAACATCTCTATATGAATCAAGCCTTGAGTTAAGTAAGATAATAGCCTTAAATGTCTTAGACACTTTCTCATCACAATTAATGATATGTTGAACAAGTTTGTTAAAAATATCCAGGTTGTTATTAAACTCCTTTGAAGTATCCATTTTAAAACTAAAAAATCTTTCAAGCAAGTGCAGCTTATTAAGAGTAGATTTAAACAAATATAAGTCCTCCAACTTTTTCCAACTTTTCTCAAAATAATGTTAGTTATGTGTAAACTAAGTGTAAGCAAGTTCCTTATATTCTTAAGCAAGTTCCTTTATCCTTCGATTAAATTTGTAAGAAATTTGCATCTGTAACTTTGGAAACTTTTTGTTGAATCAAAATCCCCTTTATCTTTTGTTACCAAATTAAAAAATACAATTTCCCATTAAAAATTTCAATTTCGAAATGTGAAGACATTTTGAGAAAAAAGAACAATCAAAGTGTACAAATAGGTTACTCAAAGTAATCCTAAGACCACAGTATACACCGTTCTAAATTTTCAGTGTTCCGTAAGATTCGCGATAATAGATCAAGGAAATATTCCAACGGATCAAGTCTAGGTGTTCTAACTGAATAATCAACGCAAAATAAAGATACGTTAACAAAAAATTCAAATTCTCACATAATGCAAGCAATTAAACACGGAAGCAATTATTAATTTGCATTTAAATCCAACACTTCAGATAGAGCAAATAATTCCTAAACTTCTAACACAAGTAATGTTACCCCCACACGGTAACCACAATCCTAATGTCACTGTACACAATGACGTGCTAATGTTAAAATTTAAATTGGAATAAGTCAATATATCAGAGCGAACCAATTTGAGTCCGTAAATTATAAATATACGAATTTATCACTTTAAGACCACTACTATTCATCCCAAAGTCTCGAGTAACTGTGACAACCAATTAACCATCATCAAATCTTGAACACGTGAAGAACAATTTGTCTATATTACATTATATAACCTGAAACAAAAAACTAACATCAAAATGTCAGAAAAATTGTCAGGAAAAAACTATTTGAAGAGACCTTTGCTAAAAGACACTGTACACACCCTCACTTGCCACCAACCACTCTGCGCGTGGTCTTCATGTGCCATCAGCCAATCACCCTAGTGCGCCTCTACCTGCACGTCACGCCGATGGTTTCCGTTTTATCAAACACCTTCTGGATTGGCCGAAAATCACGTAAATGGCCTAAGGTTATTGGCTAGTTTTCTAGACAGTTTTGCGATATGAATTCTATTTCGTTTCAGTCGATTCTTTGGACTATTTTTTATCAATTTTTTGTGCCAAATTCACCACCTTGAAGTTCTAATACCAATTGTCGTAGAAGCTTGCTATAAAAATCATCAAATCAGTGTTCTCTGAGCTCAGTTTTATGTTATCTTTCGCTACCAATCAACCAATTCAAACGATTCTAACCCACAACTAGCATATTCACTTCAGTTGTTTCTCAATCTCACCCACAAAGGACAAGATGATGATGAGGATTTGAAACCACAAAGGCAAGAAGAAAAACAACGAAAGAATGCAAGAAAAGAAACCACAAAATAATAAAGTTAAATGGGCCAAATTTCAAAGCTATCCAAGAGGTAGTACGTATGGACCAGGTAGAGCCTTTGGACTTGATTGTTTGTAATTAATTTACCATTAGACGAGGCCTATGAAATTAACTTTTCACATTTAGCATTATTTCCCGGAACTTATTGGATATTAAAACCCAGCAAATACAATCTACCCAACATTGTATAGTGAGGGCAGAAGTAGCAAAGCTGTTAGGTCGTGGGAGCTGGAGATAAAGTGACAAGAACCACATTCGACATTACAAAGAACACCTACAATACTTATAAATATATTAGAGCTTGTTGGCATGGCTTTTGAAAAGTTTGAAGGAGTTTTTAAGACTTAAAAACTGTTGTTGGAACTGTTTAGCTAATTTCATGAAACTGTTTTTTCTAGTTGGAAGAGGTTCTAGAAGAAGTTAATTCAATGTGACTTTTTCTAAAAGCACTTTTAGAATATAGAGCTCTTCCGAAAATTAGTTTTCAAATAAAAACGAATCTTTCTTCAAAAGCTCTTTTACATGAAGCAAAAGCAAACGGCCCTTAGACCAGTAGAAGAAAAAGAAGCATCACACTCCACTATGCTTATCTGCAAGCATAAGCTTCGTCCAAATGGTAACCCTTCTAGGAGAGCTATGGGTTCGGCATTTTCTGGATACAAAAATGCAACAATGTGGGGAATCATTCTCATTGGAATTAATCGTACAAACGTTTCTGAATATCTCAGAATCAGTTTGGTTTGAAACAATTCGTCTGTTTCTTCATTTTACAGCATCATTTTCGCTTCACAACTCTTTTCAGTAACGCATTCTCCCATAAAATAATTTTACACGTAAATAGAAAACTTTTTTTATTTTTAACCGTAAATGCCCAAAAAATCACTATTCCAAAATAATTTTTCTTACACAAATGAGACTCAAAACAAGAGTGGCTTCATAAGACAAGGGAAAATGTGTTGGCCTCCATAAACTTGGTGCCACCATGGAATTCCTTTTTCATCACTCCGTTTGATTCATTGAATAGTTTTTTGAATATTATCTTTCATTCTGTCTTTGCTCTACAGTTGCCATTCTCGTACAGAAGTTATGTCCCATATGAAATTTTCTAAAATTAGTACCAACTGAATCACAGAAAAATGACATCACAACCTCTCCTTTGATTGTGCCGGAGAGACACTTGACTAACTCTAATCTCGCTTGTTTCTTTCCGCTTCCAAGCATTAAATAATCGATAGCAAGTCTTTTATCCATAGAGAAGGCACCCAGTTTAAAAAGATACAAGAAAAATCGTGTTTTGACGAATTGTATAAACCTACCAGTTGAGCATTTCAAAAGGGAAAAAAGGAAAACTCTTTTCACAAGTTGTTTCGCAAATCAAAAAGAGAATACTTGGGTTCTCCCAATAACTAAAAATAATAGTTATTTCGTTTTGTACTAACAGCTTTTACTATAGCTTTACCTTTACAACATGCTGTTGCAAAGTATTGAAACCATGGAAAAAGCCAGATCTACAGAATTCTCGTTCACAGAGTTTTTACAGGTGCTGCTGTGATTCAAACTATCTTTTTTCCCCGCAACTACCAATGAATTTTCGCCAAGTTTTCTCTCTCAACCAATTCTGTAAGTGTAGCATTGTCCCGAAACCATTGCAGAGCTTCAAATAATTTATTGGGCTTGATACAGAGTATTTGGAATGTAGGAAAAAATATCATTCCAATAATATATCCAAATCCTCGAGCCTCCACGAATCTAGTTAATATCACTATCCACACCTAATGCACCAATGGAGGGAAGGCTCCATTCTTTTTGTCTCACGACCTTAGAAAGTCTCTTTTTCGAACTTTAATATATAGCCATCACAAAATTTAACTACCTGATATATTATAAATTAAACATTAATATCTAAACCTGGTGATGAACCTAGGCTAGTATTTTCTCCTTCCCTTCCATATTTTTAATTAATTCTGGAGCAGTGATCGTTACAAAGTTGTAGTAAGTCACCTGAATAAGGGTTCAAACTTGGGATTATGCAAGGCAGATACAGAAATTAACCGTTAATCTCTAAGCCTAGTTTCATTATTATACATTTGGTAAGGCAAATTAGACAAGAAGTAGACGTAATTAAATAAGCAAACGAAGTTAAAAAAGCCGTCCATCGCCGTCCATCATACTGTCTTACAATCTAATACTACATACCAAATATACACTTAATGTTCCCAAGTGACAGTCCTAGGCAAACACATTATGCAAGGTAAATATGACAAGTTATTCCTCTCGGAACAATAGGATCAAATCCTTCAACCCCACATGCTGAATTTGACTGGTTGCATCTCCCCTTATAGTCGAGAAGGATATCCCATCCATATTCCATTACCATACAAGAATGCAAAGTTTGAGCCCACTGAATTGGGTTAAAGAGGAATTGATCCCCAGAGCATCCAACTATCCAGCTACAATATAATGGCCACTGCAAAACCTTGTGATGGGGGTATGATAGTCTAAGCGTTTTATAATATTCCAAAATCACTGAGCAGCTCCTCTGCTTTGGACAGAACTCCGAACTCTATATATGGAGATCTATTCGTTTTAAATTTGTTCTAAGAAAGCTTTTCCACTTCCTAGAACACCCAAAATGAACACCAAAACCTTCCACAACACGATCCTTAAGAATAGAGGTTTACAATATATGCCATAGCTCTGCATGTGACCCCCAGCTCTCGATTATTTTCCTAATTTACTTCCATGAAACAGCACGTGTAAAAATACAGAAGATTTCCAAGTGTTTATGACTGCAAGGTATTTTTCATGTGTACTACTAAGAAGCTATAATAAAATCGACAGTGCTATTCATGGATTGATATGAAGAACTGAACAAAATCTGAAACTTTTTACCTTGAATAACATCATAGAAAGAGATGTAACAACCATGTAAGGGGAAATTGTCGTACAAGAAGCCCCAACTCATAATAGAGTCGCTAAAAAGATTGGCTTGCGACGACATTAACCTTTAATAGATTAAAGGTGGGAAGGTGGGGGAAGATGAAAATAGAGGGGGCTTAAATTAGTAATAATTTATTTACAGCATTGACTTTTTTCCTTAGAACCAAACAGAGCATGATGGGAAAAGGAGCTAACTTTAGAGGACACGGAGCTGCGCAAGGAATGCAGCAGAAAGATCCAAAAAGAGAAATTGTGGGCCGTGAACTCTCTGTAGATCGAGCAGGTATTTGTCTTCACGAGTTTTATACAGCTGGAAGCACAAAAGTAAAAACACCAAACAACAATTAATAAGCAGTCAACAGATAAATAACAAAATGCTAATTGGTAAATGAGTGGATTAAACTGTAAGTGTACATTTGATTAGTGTTAGACCGTGGAGTACGATGAACAAGATTATAGATTCTTTTGCTGTAATTTTACCCATTACTGTCTAATCCACTTGCCCATGACATATAACTTGTTTCCAGTGATGTGATACATCTAAATCACAACAGGCTTAAGATGAGCAACTTTGAGACTCAGTTTAATATCTTGATTGTCAATCAGGAAAATCATGCTAATTTCAACAGGAAGCTCCACGATCGGAGCTATAGCTGGTCATTTAATTGGAAATGGAATATTTTTTATTGTATGACGCAAAGGTTTGTTGGTCTCCGGTAGATCAGAGATTAAAACTAATTGGCAATATAAACATGTCCATCTTACTAAAAACAAAATTTCCTATTACTCTTTTAGTAATTGCACCCTTTTCAAATGTCTCTTTTTTATCTGTGCAGATGTTGGTGTCTAGGATACGTCAGTAACCCCCTACTTGCAATATAAATTGAACGATGCTTAAGTGTATAATTAGAGAAAGCGTCAACAGTGTGCATGTTGTGTACTAAACAATCCCATCCCCCACCACCACCCCGGTAATTAACAAGACAAAAAATGCATACGTAAACCTATAGTTAGTAATGATAACTGAACTTCTGTGCCTCCTCTTATAGGTGCTCTATACACTTGTGCCACTGGTTTATAAATAATTAGTTAGTGATATGACCCAACAAGTAAGAATATACATAGTATTAAAAATTATTACCTGTACTTCAAACTTGACAACGTTTTGCGGTTGAGTAACACTGCCATTTTCTATAATAGCAGATTCATCTCCAAAGTAATGATTACCATGCATAGAATTGTCAACCATGCCTTCCTGATGCGCAGGAATGCCAGGAACCCACCTACATTTCATGTTGTAGTGCCCAATCTTTTTCCAGCAAACATTCAACTCTTGCAGAGCTTTGAGAACTTCATTCATTATTTCACGAGGATGTGCTCGGGACTATTAAAAAGGCCAAAAGAATATGAATAGCTAATGAAATGAGTGAGAAATTGAACTTAGTTATTATCTCTGATGAGTGGCTGTAAAACTGTGACATGTAAGGTTGAAATAACAGTTTAAACACTTTATAAGGGCAATGGATAGACTTAGATTTTCTTCAACTCCACACCAACCAAAACTAAAATAAAATCCTCTCCCTGGAAAAACATAATCCGAAACCCATTTTTACAACTATTTGCTCAATGAATCTATATATCACTAAGAATCACATATAAAACAGTAAAAGTAAGCAAGCCTGTCAGTCTGCCCATTTCTTCCTCAGGTTTCCTCCATCTCTAGCCTCAAATGTATAATTACAAGGATGTGAAAACAAACCTGAAGCCCAAGTGCCCATTTCCTCTCGATTGGAAACTGTCTTCCTCCAAATTGTGGATAATCAACAGCTCCAGGAGCATGATGCCCAACAGGCGATGCAACATTCTCACTTGAATTCAAGTTGTTACTACCAAATTCCTATAGATATATGGGTTCATTCATATGTGTGAACAATTAAATTATCAAAAAGTGCAATTTAAAAAATTGAGAACATGTTAATATCGAATATGGAGTGAGAAGTTCAGAGATGGCAAAGCAGAAGCACTGAAACTGTGGATTCCATATTATTAAAAACACCCGTTCAGATGACATAACCAAATGTACAAATCATCATCTGGAAATAAGATCAGAAATAAGTTCTAGCCTTATTTATTAACTTGACATTAAAATAGCGCACCAGAGTTTCTTGAAATTCAGCTCGGAGGTAGCCAGTGGAAACCCGAAACCGGTTGTCTAACATCAAATAGTATGTAACAGTACCCTGACATAAAGTCCAAATAAGAAACTTGAAATGTACAAAATGAATACATGACAGAGTAACAAAAGATCACCTCATTTTGAACTCTGTTGCGAAGAGAATCAACAAGGGTATTCCTGTCAAATCCCATTTTAACAACTTCCTGAAGAATATCTTCATCAATCTGCAATGAAAAAGATGAACGAAATTGAAAGGTTTTAATTGCTAGACACATTAAAAGCAGCAGGACATAACTACAAAAGATCCCACACATCAGGGAACAATAAGATCAAGTGAATAATATAAGAAAGGAAAAACAAAAGACTATATTAATAGAATGGAGAGGAGGTGATGGGCCTTTATGATATTGACTCAGATGAATAACACACACATGTAACTGGAAGGGAGATTAGCACAATATTTACAGTTATTTTTCTTCACATTCCTCAAATAGATTTTCTTGTAAAAGGAAATGATGCTCTTCCAATTTTTTGTTAAAAAATGGATATAATCGGAGGATAACAATTAGTGCATGCATGTGTGTGTGAGAGAGAGGAGAAATCATTGTACCATGTTGAGATAATTTTACTATTTAATAAGCAATCACTAGCAAGTAAGTGCTCAATTCAGTCGCTCGCTGCTAATCTTACCAAAAGTTTGATGTACTCAACATATACTAATAGCATAAAATGCAAAATAAATTGAAAGTGGCACCATGTTGGAAAGATGTTATCACAATGCTCACAGATTTAAAAAATAAGCCATGTACTGACTCTGAAATGAACAATAACAGGTACATAGATTTCAGTAAGAAAATTATACACACACGCACACACTGATAATGCCACCGAACCTTTTGGGCTTGTTGCATTGTATCCGGTGGCGACACAGCCAAATAGCGAGGCAGGTGAGCTTGGAACCAGGGATGAATACGAATCTCAGGAATTGTGATTCGCTTCATAGGATCGACAATAAGCATTCTCGGAATCAAATCCCTTGCACTGACAGATAAGTGACATGGAAGGGTATATATCCCACCCTAACGACAAATTATAACAAAATAAGAATGAAGTAGTTCAACTGCATAATGAGGATTACAACTGTTTTTATTTAGAAGAAACAATGATACTCTGGGTAGGATTAAGTTGTAACACCATTAAATAAAGCTTAAAATTGCAATAAATACTTGACATTAACATAGAATTCTGTACACCCTTAAACTAGTCTAAATAAACAAATAGAATTCTACTCAAAACATGTTGGTCAAATCATGTAAACTCTCATGCCATGTGGCTTACAGGAAATAAGGATAAGCAGCTTCGGTCCAATCATGAGGACCAAATGCTATGTAAATTAACTAACAGACTTGAGCTTTGCAGGGAAGCAACTCATACAAAGACTACTTGAAAAATAGATGAGTCAAGCTTGTCCAATCTTAGGTTTGTTTATATGCAAACTGAACTTGAGCAGCTTAAGGTCCAGCTTGCACATAAATGCTTCTAACAGTTAGAAATAATATAAAGGTAGTGAAATTATGGTGTGTAGTGATACCCCCAGAATATCTGCAATAAGAATTTTTAAACTTGTATTGAAGTCAACTTGGACAACAATCTGAAGAAAATGAAACTCAGCCAAGATGATCGACACTGTAAGAAAACCTGAATCTACCTTTATTTTTTTGAAAAGGTTAGGAATATTTTCGTCATCAAAGGGAAGGGTCCCACATAGAAGTGCGTAGAGAATTACACCACAGCTCCATACGTCTACTTCTGGCCCTGCATACAGTTTCCCAGAAATAACCTACAGATAATAATGTACATCATAATCTTGCAAATTTTTCAAGCTGCATTATTCCATGTCTTTTTATCCTTTCAGTAAATATACATCTTTTGGTCAGCATTGCAACTTCTATACTGTACCTCTGGAGCTGCATAGTTTGGGCTTCCACAACTAGTCTTCAGAAAATGGCCATCACGCATGATATTACTCAAACCAAAATCTGCAATCTTCACATTGGACTTCGAATCTAAAAGAAGGTTCTCAGGTTTAAGATCTCTATGAACAACCATATTCCTGTGGCAGTACTCAACTCCAGAAATTATCTGCCATAATCAGCACATGATTAGAGTTTTTAAATTCGAAAAACAAAGCATTGATTAGTCATTACAGACACATGCATAAAGAGCCTTCTACCTGCTGAAAGAAAGTGCGCGCTTCATCCTCCTGTAATCTACCCTTCTCCACAATGTAATCAAACAGCTCACCAGACTTCACATATTCCATCACAACATATATATCTGTTGGCGTCTCAATAACCTCATAGAGACGTATAATATGAGGATGCATAAACAATCTCAGTATTTTGATTTCTCTTCTAACTGCAAAAGGACAAGAAGACTATTCAATTTATCTGATAACATCAGATAAATAAGCTCGATCCAGTCAATCCAGCATCATTGTAAATTAGACGACCCAACATGAAATCAAGCTGTACCCTTTTGAAATATTTTATATGATTCAAGACCATCGTTCTAGATAAGGACAACAACATTGGATGGCTTCCAACCACCGAAATTTTCAAACAAACAATTAAATATATAGAATAATAAGAATGAAACCATAATAATCAGCATTTCAGGAAATTTCTTTTGTATTAGATGGGAAGAAAGCTTCGATAAACTGAACTTAATTATTGAGGCAGAAGAGAAACCCAAACTTGGAACATGAAAGGCATAAACAATATAATAGGAACTCTACATCATGAGACATCAACTTTTTGCAAAGACAGCGGTCTATATTAATGTCAATAGTAAACCAGAGTACAGGTTTTTCCCCAGCAATGTACCAACAAGGTTAAATAAAGTTAATGGAGAACAAAAATTAAGTATCTAAATGCAAAAGAATATGACGCCCTCCAGTTAAATCTGCTAAGAGAAAAACAGACATAAAGCAAATTTATTTTAAGAAGATTGCATGATAACCATGTACACTATTCCAGATTAAAATACAGCATTATATAGTGGAGATGTGCATCTCCCAAATGTAGACAATAAGCTTCTCCATGGACATTTATGAACAGAATGTATAACAGCTATATGTCTTGCAAAAATCTGACTAAACCTTTTTCTTCCATATCCATATTCTTTATTTTACGACGGTTAAGAATCTTGACAGCAACTTTGTGCCCTGTCAATATATGCTCAGCAACTTTAACTTTACCAAATGAACCGATTCCAAGAGTTTTCCCTAGCTTGTAGTTTCGCAATAAGGAATCCACACTAGTGCCACCTTGGAATGATCCATCCATTTTCCTAAACCAGGTAGATATTTGAAGAGAAATCAAACGGCAAGCAATATGTAAATACGGGAAATAGAGTAACGTGAAGTACAAAAGATCTAAAACTAAAGAACACCAATATGATAAAAAATAAATAAATAAATAAATAAAACAGAAGGAGAACTGGATGTTTCTACAGTTCCAGTTAGCAGGACAATTGAAAAAAAAAATGCTGATGGGCCTATGGGTCTACACACTGAAAAAATCAAGATATTCATCATTTTAGCTCAATTTGATATTATCAAGACACGCACGTTGCTTTGGGTGCAGTTACTTGATCTGAGAGCAGATTTATATTTGATGGCTGAGCTTATTCCAACTTAAACTCAAATATGTAGTATAATGAATGATGTTTGGTACTTCCTTAATGACTTATTTAAGAAATTGAAGCTGAAATTTTACCTATAACTGACAGGAATAATTTGCTGATAATCAAACTGTTATAATAAAAAAAAACAAAATAAAGAAAAATTCAGCAAATTAAATCTAAATTTATGGTGAGAACAAGCGATCCGAAATCAAAACACAAATCGCATCCTATGAAACAAGGAATTTGCGGAAAATAATCCTAATTTTTAGAATAAATATCTCCAAAAGATTAAATCTTACAAATAAAACAACAATTCCAACAAAATTACAAGTTCAGAAAGAAATCATTTCTAGATCTGGAAAATACCCACAAAACGAATATTACCCCAAAAAAATTAAAAAAAATTTGAGTAAATTAGAACAATAACTCACTTAAAGAAGATATTATTCGACGGGAAATTAAAACAATAATTCACTTAAAGAACATATTATTCAACGGGCATAATATACAAATTTATGTATAGATACAGAAATAGAAACTTACTGTGAATTACACTGTGCAACTGCACCCAAGAAAATCGATAATCGCAAAGCAACTTTAAGAATAATATTTCTGGGGGACAAAAGCTAAAAATTAAGTAACGGACACAGTACGAGTGAGGCTTATGAGAGTGAGCGCCTTCCCGTACCTGTAGAGTTCATGATTATAATATAAACTGACGACGTATTTAATTAATTATCAATTATTAAGCCTTTGATTGAGCCCCATTTGAATTTTTGAACAGTAGAAATGTATAATTAAAAAATAAAAAATATTTTTTTTTTTTTCAAGAATCAATCAAAAGTAAGTTAAAAATTAGTATGCTTTGCTTTACCGTACCAAAATGTCAATAACTTATAAGCAGGGGAAACGTCAAACGTGCAAGTATTTGATAATATATTTACTATCTTACCCTTGAATCCTAAATCATGGAGTTCGAGAATATTTCTTTTCTTCTAATTTGTAGGATTTTAACTTTATACCAGAATTAAAGTTGATTCTATTATAATTTTATTCATTTAAAAAATATATCTATAAGTATATTAAACAAAATGAGTCCAAGTGTCCCATGATGAAAGTCATGGGCTGAGAATTTTTCTTTCTCCTTTTTTTACCTAATTAAAGTTGATTCCATTTTCAATTTTGCATCAATAATTTATAAACATGTTTAATTTATTGATAGAAATAAGGGAGAGTTTGTTAAATAGCCTAGTCAACTAATGTATTTAATTAAATTACGTTGTTTCAATGTTAGTTGGTCAAATGACCCTCATTTATAAAATATAATAAACAAATAATATCAAATGTTCAAAACATCATACCATGGAAAAGACTCTAACGTCCCTTTTAATCTAATCAAATTCCTAAATTCATCTCCAAAATGCATCACGATCTCTCTCTGTGCTTGTTACCCTAAAATCTTGTTATTCAATAAATTTTTCACCTATCTTCTCTAATATTTTGAGCATTTGAACAAGAATTTTTGTTTCTATATTATGTACTTCGAAATCTCTAATATATTTGAAGGAAAAAAGGTACTTCTAGAAATCTTATGTACATTATTACTTTTTTACTGTTGAATATAGTAGGAAATATATTTTAGTGGATTTATTTTTGTATACGGTGTATTTTTGTACTGTTAGCAACTATTGGACGATAACGTTACTCCAACCACTATTTGTGAGCTAGAACGACACTATAATCGTTATCGGATCTTACCCGATCGCCTCATCTATCCTCCTGAGGAGAGGTTTGGTTTCAAATGATAAGCGGTAACGAATATATCTCGTGGTAACAAAAATGTATTATTCTGGGGTATAATCTTCCATGTAAAATATAAAAATGATGTTTAAAAATTAAATATTATATATTTAATAATAATTAATTTCAGAATATACACGGTATCAATTATTCATATAATGTTTACATTCGTAACGACACTTGTGCCGATTTCATAATAGCAACTGCATTTGTGCTATTCTCTCTTTTTTCAAGTTGATTAAATAATGAACATATTGAAATTGACCCGGCCCGGCTGTTCAACCGATAAACCTAGGAACTAGGTCTAAAATTAGGTCAATTATATGTTAATAACCAAATGCAAGAAAATAGTTTAAAAAATCGCTAAACCGGCTGATTTAACACTAACCCGTGAACTGATCACGATTTTCCAAAATTTTTTTGAAGCTTCCACATGGTTTTCCACTTTTTTCTGGACTTCTTTTTATATAATTTAAAATTTTTAACTTCACAATTGGGTCATGCAGTGAATTGAAAGACCCGTAGGGGGGTTTGGATTGCCAGCATATTTATAGACATAATTTCTTCAAAATGTTTTAGCAACTTCCGCTGTGGAATTCTTTTTCATGCTAGAGTACATATGTTTAATATGTGCATGTCAACTTCTATCAACAACCAATGTGGGATTCCTTTTCAATTGCCCATATTACCTATTTTCCATGTTTGCATATTTAACTTCAATTTTACTTTGATTTTGAGCTCACTTTACAAATTTAGCTTAAAAATCACTTCATTATTAACATAATAACGTTATACATCATTTTCTCTAAGCTCAAACGATTTCAATTTTAATTAGCCAAAATGAATTTGTATTTACGTTGAATGAGTAGTATGAAAATTAAAAAAAAAAACTGTTTTATTATATTTTATTATCGTGTATTTAGTTATTGCATCCGGTTCGACCCTAGTTCGGTTCCGGTTGAACTTTTTGACCATTGACCTGTGAATTTTTTTCGGTCAATGCTCGGGTCGATTTTCAAAACATTGGTAATAAACATATCTTTCAAATTTTGTAAATGATATGTTCATCTTATAACTTAAATGAGTTCAAATTATCAAATATCAGAGCTTGGAAGGTTCGTAGATTCACATACTCACGTTTATAGATAGAACGACATACTTGGCGTTTAACAGTACTTATATCATTTTATTAATTTCTCCAATATTTTATTTCGTTTCCACCGCAACGACTTCGAGCATTGGCCTCCTAACTTAAGAAAGTCGGCAATGTTAGTTATGTGACAAATATCGATAGGATTGATATAAATTATATGATATCAAGTGGGAGACATCACAAACCATGATTTACATTCTTTAAAGATATAATTAATGAACACATCTCTCAAATTTTGTAAACGACACATCCATCTTGCAATATAAATAAGTTAACTTATCGAATATTGGGGCTTGAAAGGTTGTGGCTACTCATACTTGTGTTTATAGACAGAATGACACACGTGACAAGTTTAACAGCACTTGTGTCATTCTGTTGATTTTTCTAATATTTTGCTTCCTTTTCCATTGCAACGACCTCGAGTATTGGATCCTCTAACTTAAAAAAGTTAAAAATGTTAGTTATGTGACAAACATCGATAGAATTGATATGGATTATATGATATCAAGTTAGTAACATCACAAATCGTGATCTACATTCATTAAAAAATATAATTATTGAGAAAATCTCTCAAATTTTGTAAGTAGCATGTCTATCTTACAATATAAATGAGTTAAACTTATCGAATATTGGGGTTCGAACTGGTTGTGACTGTTCATACTCGTGTTTATAGACAAAACGACACACGTAACGTTTAACGGTGCTTATGTTGTTCTATTGATTTCTCCAATATTTTGCTTCATTTCCACCACAACAATCTAGAGTATTGGACCCCCTAACTTAAGAAAGTCAGAAATGTTAGTTATGTGACAAATATCGATAGAATTGTGCTGTCAGTTAATTTCACCAATATTTTGCTTCCGTTTCATCTCAATACCTCAAGTATTGGACCCTCTCATCTCAAAAACGATACAAGTGACATTCTCAAGGACCTTTTCATATTCTAAACAGCACTTGTATTGTTATCTTAGAACTTTTTATCTCAGTAATGACACAAGTGTCGTTCTCAAGGAACTTTTTCATCCTCTTAACAGCAATTGTGTCATTTTCTTATAATTTTTAATTTCAATAACAGCATAAGTATCGTTCTGACGAACAAGTATGTTTACAAGCATAATGACAGTTATATCGTTATAATAGACATTCCCATCTCAGTAACTGTACAAGTATCATTTTCATAAACAAAATTACAAACATAATGATAATTTTCCTTACACTTTTGATTCTATTTCTTCCTATACCTTATGCCTTGTATTAATTCGTTAGAAAATATAATCAACGATCACATCTTTCAACTTTTATAAACGGAATGTTCATCTTGCAATTGAAATGAGTTCAACTATTGGTTCTTGATGTATGGATAGGTCGTGGCTATATATACTCGTATTTATAGACAAAACGACAAAAGTGTTATTTAACAGCTCTTGTGTTGTTCTATTGATTTCTCAAATATTTTGCTTCTTTTCCAATGTAATGAGCTCAAACATTGGATCCCCTAATTTAAGAAAGTTGGAAAGGTTGATCATGCGACAAAGAATAATTGAATTGACATAGACTATACGATATCGAGTTGATGAAATCACAATTCTTTGTATTAATTCATTAGAAAATATAATTAATGAGTACATCTTTCAACTTTTGTAAATGACATGTCCGTCTTGCAATTGAAATGAGTTCTACTTATTGGTTCTCGGGGCATGGATGAGTTGTGGCTGCATATATTTGTATTTATAGATAGAACGATACAAGTGTCGTTTAACGGCTCTTATGTCGTTCTATTGATTTATCAAATATCTTGCTTCTTTTCCAACATAACAACCTCAAAAATTTGATTCTCTAACTTAAGAAGGTCAGAAAGGTTGATCACATGACAAAGAATGGTTGAATTGACTTAGGCTATACAATATCGAGTTATTAAAATTACAATTCATTATATTGATTCGTTAGAAAATATAACTAATGAGCACATTTCTCAATTTTTGTAAACGGTATGTCAATCTTGCAGTTGAAATGAGTTTCAGGACATAGATGGATCGTGACTGTCTATACTCGTGTTTATAGGCAGAACGACATAAGTATAATTTTCTTTATAGTAACAGCACAAGTGTTGTCCTTATGGAGAAATTATATTTCGATAACAGCACTTATGTCATTCTTTTAGAACTTTTTATATAAGTAATAGCACAAGTGTCGTTTTCAATGACTTTTTCATCTTCTGAACGGCAATTGTGTTTTCTTTTAGAACTTTTTATCTAAATAACAACACAAGTGTCGTTCTCAATGACCTTTTATCCTCGAGCATTGGATCCATAAAGTATGCAAAAAAAAAAAGTAGGTCACGTGACAAAGAACAATTGAAATAATATAAATTATTTGATATATAGTCACAAATAATTCTATTATTTTCAACAAAATACAAGTAATGTGCATATCTCTCAATTTTTTAAAATGTCATGTTTATCTTGTGACTTAAATAAGTTCAACTTATTATTTTTCGAGGCAAGGACGGATCGTGACTACTTAAATTCGTAATCATAAACAAAATGATGAAAGTGTCGTTTTATTATTAATAACGACACTTGAGTTATTTTATTATTTTTTCTTTATTTTCGTTTGTTTCCAACGCAACGACCTTTAAAATTGGACATCTTAAGTTGTGCTGTTCTCACAGTAATAATAGAAGTTTATAATTCGGTAATGTCATTTGTGTCATTCTCCTAAAACTTTTCATCTCAGTAACGGCATTGATGCCATTCTCAGAGATATTTTAAATAC